GAATCGGGCTGCGAACCTTAAGGTTAGCGGTTCGAAACTACCAGCCGCTCCGCGGGAGAAAGATGAGGCTTTCTACTCCCGTAAAGATTTACAACCTCGGAAATCCTGTACAGGGTCGCTATGGGTTGGAACCGACTCGACGGCACTTAACAATAACAACAACAACAACATATATATATGGACTCCTTGTATGGTGCTGTAGGATATGCACTGGACTGTGAACCACAAGGTTGGCAGTTCAAACTGCTCCTCAGAAATCCTGTACAGGGTTGTTATGAGTCAGAATCCACTCCATGGCACTTAACAAAAACAACAACATGTGGTGGTGGTTATGTGCCGTGTAGTCTGTTTCGACTCATAGTGCTCCTGTATAGGGATTCCGAGGATGTAAATCTTTCTGGGAGCAGAAAGCCTCATCTTTCTCCTCCAGAATGGCTGGAAGCTTTAAACTGCTTACCTTGAGGTTAGCAGCCTGACTCATTAATCACTACACTACCAGAGCTTCTTTGTTTTTTACTCATACATGGGCATGAGTATAAAATATATGTTGCTGTTATTAAGTGCCGTCAAGTTGTTTTTGACTCAAAGCAACCCTGTATGGGCTTTCCAAGGAGCTGCTGGTGGGTTTGAATTTCTGACTTCATAGTTTACAGTTCGTAGTCTCGTGCTGATTCTATAGTACCACACCAGGAGTCCATAAAATACATAACTATAATTGTAAGACAAAGAATTATATATATTATATATGTATATGGTATTAGGAAATATTTATAAATGTAACAGGGAAAATGTGGATTAAAAAAAACTTGTGTAATTAGAAAAATGAAACTTCTAAGGCATAGCATTTGCCTCCATTTTGTTTTTCCAAAGATGACATTCATGGCACACAGTGTTGTTTTCGTTACGTGCTGTTGATTCTGTTCTGACTCATAGTAACCCTGTATAGTGTTTCCGAAGAGTGGTTGGTGAGTCCTATATATATGAATCAGTCCTAGGACATGACATAGCTTTTAGTTAAGAAAGTATTGCGAAGTTACATAAATGTCATTGTTTTGAACAGAAAGAATTTTTCTTACCTATGCATTTTCTGCCCTTGAGTTGATATCCAGGTTCACACCCACAATGGAAACTTCCTATAGTATTAGAACAACGTTGATGACAGGGGTTGGATTCCTGACATTCATTAACATCTGCGAAAAAACAAAAACAAACAAAAAACCAGAAAACTTTCGTTATATACTGTCAGGAAACTTAATTTAATTGATCACAAATGGTTAACTTTTTGTTTTATCTCTTTTTAATTGAGATTTGATGAAAGTTTACAAAGCAAATTGGCTTCCTATTAAACGTTATGTTTTGTGACATTGATTGAAACACCCACAATGTTAACAGCACACTTCCCACTTTCTTCTGAGTTTATCATTTTCAATCATCCTTCTTTCCTATCACTTCCTACCTCTTGAGCTTTGTTGTTAAGTGCTGTCGAGTTGGTTTAGACTCATAGTGACCCTGTATAGGGTTTCCAAGGGGTGACTGGAGAGTTTGAACAGCCAATCTTGTGGCTCAAACCAACCTTGAGGTCTTAATGATAAACACTGAATTACTAAGCCCAAGGCCAGCAGTTGAAACCCACCAGCTGCTCCACTAGAGAAGATGAGGCTTTCTGCTCCTTTAAAGACGCAGAACCTCAGAAACTCCCTAGAGTATCACTATGAGTCAGAGCAGACTCGATGGCAGTGGATTGGGTTGAGTTTTTGTGCCTTCCTGATATTATTGTTCACGTTAAAAGCCTGTCTATTGTTTGGCTGAAAGAGGACCCAGGGGTGATTTCAATTCCAGGTTAGAAAGGTATCTAAGTGTCTTCATCTTGGAGGCCAATGTTAACATTTCAACTATTTTAATTTGAAAATAGTTATCTGATGGAAAACGCATTTCTCTTCAAAAATTTTCAAAGATGGTGGTGGTTGTTGTTGGGTAGCATTTTCTAACGACTCAAAACTAAGTTGATGCAACACTATCCTATTTCAAATACTTCACCATATGGCTCCCACTCCTATTTCTAGAAAGTTTAAGTCCTGGAATGCTGTTAACAGATCTGGGATGTTGAAGACTGGGGTAGAGGAAGGAAGCTATGACTTTCTGTAATATATTTAAAATTTTCTTGCTTATTCTTGATGTATTAGCCCTTTAAATATATGCCTTAGTGGCTGTTACAACTTCAGCATTTTTTCTTGTTTGAAGTTATTGTCAAATTAACCTTCCCGAACATCACCTAGTTCAGAGAATAATAGAAAGACTACAGGCATGAAATCTCCTAAACTCCTGTACACCTTGCATTTTTTGGTACCTTTTCTTTTCTCATTCCCTCTAGTCTTAAAGAGAGAGAATATTTTGCACACGCGCGCACACGTGCCAAGATTTATTATTAAATGAATAAAGTAAGATACAGAATAGTGTAACAACAAGAACAAAAACAGACTGTTTCAAATGGGGAAAAATTAATAAATTACAAGGTAACTTCAAAGAAAATTAATATACCTTTACATCAAAATGAAAAAGCGGAAAATCATAAAGATTTAGAAGACATTAATGCAATATAAATTAAGAAAATAAAAAGTAAACCCACAAACAATATGAACTCAGTGCAGAAAATTATGTGGAACAAAGAAACCAGCAGCATCATAAAAAGACATACACACAGCAAAATGAAAGCAATCGATTCATATCTATAAATAATTACACTGAATATAAATGGACACCAGTCAAGAGACAGTAGCAGAATGGTAAAGAAAACAGGATCCTTCGGTATGTGGTTTACAAGAGACATGTCTTACACACAAAGACAGAAATAGACTAAAAATCAAAGGATGGAAAAACATTTATCAAGCTAATGGCAATAAAAAATGAGTAGGAGTGGCCACTTTAATCTCTGATAAAATAGACTTTAAGGCAAACACCAGCATAAGGAACAAAGAAGAACATTATATCATGATTAAGGGGTCAGTTGAACAAGAGAACATACCATAATAAATATCTACTCCTCCAATGAAAAAGCCTGAAAATACATAAATCAAACTCTAGTAGAATTGAAGGAAGATGTAGACAACTCTACAGTAACAGTAGGGGATTTTAATATACCACTTTTTTTTCCATAATTTTTTTTATTTAAAAAAAACTAAACTTGGTCGATTTAAACACATCAAACAAATACACACACAACAAAAATTGTGCACTGAAATAACCACCACAAAGTAAAAAAAAAAAAAAAACAACATGCAATGGCTAACTTCATATATATATATATATAAACCTAGCCCATTGTAGTTGAGTTAATTATGATGACTCATAGCAAACCTACAGCACTTTTCCAAGGCTGTAATCTTTACAGCTGAGCCCTTTAACCACTGAGCCCTACAGGCTTTTCTTTTTTTTCCTTTAAGTTTTTATTGTGGATTGAGCGAAAGTTTACAAGGCAGATCACCAGTTTTACATTCAACAAATCATACAACCTGTGTCTTCACAATGATTACAATCCCCTCCATGTACCATCAGCTAACAGTATTTCTCTCTATTCACTTTAGCTCTTTTTCAAAAAAACAACAACACTAAGGCATATATAATAATTTATACCACCAAAGGGCACATTCTGCAAGTCTGCCTCCTGACCACTGTGTCTTAGTCCCTCTCTTCGCATGAATCTAGAGTCCTCAGCCACTCTCCCTCTCCATGTCCCCATCTCTGCCTCCATCTCTGGTGTTGCTGCTTCTCTGGATGAAGTCGTGCATGCCCTTGTGCTCTTCTCCCTTGATGGTCCTAGGCTTCTTTGTTTATGGACTGTAAGATTAACTGCTCTCTCATTTTTGTTACAAAACATCTACCTTTACCATTGTGACAGTAGCAATTAGTCACGATAACAATTACTCACTATTGAATCACAAGAATCTTATCCCCATCTCTTTACCAGACCCATCTAAATAAGATGAAAACTATTCAGTGGGGACTCTTTCTTCCCCCACACACTATTAAACTAAAGTTTCTCTTGAAACCTTGTAAGCCAGTCACTTCGTGCCTTTATTGCCCCCTCATTTTATTTTATTTTTATTTATTTTTTTTGAAAGACATTGAGAAAGCATTTATTCTTTTTTTTTTTAATGTTTTATTGTGAATTATATGATAGTTTACATGAGAGAACCTCAGTTTCATATTCATTCCATCATATATCATTACATTGCCATGGTTCCAATCCCCTCCATGCATTGTCTTCCGACCAAAGGGCATATCCTAGAAGCCCTTGCTCTAGGCTCCCCCGTCCCCCCTCAGTCTTCGGCCCACAGTTCCTCTCCCTCTCTGGATCCAAAGTCCCCAGCTGCTTCATATACCTCCATGTCATCATCTCTGTCTCCATCTCTGTGTGGGGTCCCAGAGAAATAATCACTCTCTTCCTTGCTACAAAATATCTACCCTTGCATCCCCAACACTCAAAATCCGTCTTGATAACCATTATTCACTACAGTATCGCACGTAACCCATCTGTATTTCATTTCATCAGCTCCACCTAGACAAATTGGATAGTACTCATTGGTGATTCTGCCTTCCTCCATGCCCCCTAGCTCTAGGTTCTCTCTTGAAAGCTTGTAAGCCAGTTACTTCTTGCCTTTATAGTCCCTCCCTCCCCATTTAGGTATCCAATGTCCAAGTTGCCCCTCTCTGTTTACTCTGTGTGGAGGGGGTGGGAATGTTTCTTGCTGTAAGGATTTGTTGTCTCTTTTGTGTCACTGCATTCGTATGCATAGGTCAAGTTCATCAGCTTGGATCAGCTCAATCTTCTCCCCCCCCCCCCTTCTTTCTTCTCCTGGTTGAGCTCTGGTCATCCAGTCATCCAGTCCCGGTCACGTGGGTGTCATCTGCAAGTGTGGGTGTTCCTGTGCACATGCCCTCCTTCTCTTCCCATCAGCCGGCAGCTCCATTCTCCACTTGAATCCTCCGTGGCCACGTCACTGACTCTGTATTGCCCCCTCATTTTAGGTAGCCAATGTCTAAGTTGCCCGTCCCAATCTACCCTGTGTACAGAGGAGATAGCATTGATACTTGATGTGAAGACTCACTCCTTCCCTCTCTGTTGTTAATCAGAGTTACTACCTCCATGAGTATAGGTCAAGTTCATCAAATTGCAGCAATTTACCCTTGTTTCCTTTATCAAAAAATGTTTGTTTTTGTAAAAAAATTTTAACCTTTCTCTAGTCGAGTTCTGATTATCAAGCCATTGAGGCTAGGTCAAATGGGTACTATCTGCAAGTTTGGGTGTTCTTGTGCATCTCCCCTCACTTCATATTAGCTGGATGCTTCACTCTCAGCTATAGCCCTCTGTGGCTATGTTCTTGTCCACAGACTCAGGTGTCCCCAGGTCTCACCATACTTTGGACCAACCAGCCCTTCCTCTTCTTTCTCTCATCTCCGGGTCAACAGAAGTCAATGGACTGGGGTTGAACTCAGCCCATTTCTTCATTGCTGCCTTTCCCCCTCTTCCACTCACCTGTAGACCAATGTGGTCACCAGCAAACTTACATGCCTGCTAGTGTGTTCCCAGGTTGGTCTGCTTGTCCTTTCTAGTGAGAATGTCTCATCTTAGAAGGTTCTGGATGGGACTCAGGATTCCACCTAAGGTCCTATACTCTGCAAAGACACTGCAAGAGGCCTATTTCACTGGGCAAGTTCTAGAACCCCTTTCAGGTATTACAATCAGTTTTGGGCTGAAGATGGGTTTACAAGTTTTCTGTAATCATCTTTCCCAACATTCCTTTCTATCCCACTCGTTTATTTTACAATAATAGGCAAGGGAAACCTATATTCATAAGACAGTCAAGCATTTTAGTATTATTTTCCCTCTTTTGACTATGCCTAGATCTCTGTATCACAGAGCCCTGTTGTTCCAAGGTTGAGCATGCATCACTATTTACCTCAGTCCCACTTAGCCCATGCAAACCTGTCTCTGTGTTCCCCTATCTACTTGTTCTTCCACCTCCTCCCCCATCTTGTATTGCCCTCCCCAACACCAAACTATGATGTGTCTGCCCTTACCCTGTGATCTACCGTTGCCTCCCTCCACCTGCCACTAAGCCCCCAACCCAACCCCATTGTTGTGGTTACCTTATATTCCATTAACTCTTCCCTCCATTTCACACAGTCTATTTTATCCTGTAATCTACATGACCTCCGTACCTCTGTGTTTACCTTCTTTCACAATGTAATTGTTTTGACCATAGACTAACCTCCCGGATCCTCTGAATTTGTTCTTATAGTTTTATTCTGTTCTTGACTCTTCCATTTGTTGATTGAGTTCCAGTGATGCTGACATGTACGTCAGTCTCTGGTCGTTTTCTGTTATTGTTGGTTCTCAGTCCACAGAACTCCATTTAAAATGTTTTTCATTGCAGGATTGGCTTTGGAAAAATCCCTTAGCTTTTGTTTATCTTGGAATATTTTGA